AATATTACGGTTTATAACAATATATATGCTAGTAATATTGATTTAATCAACATATCTCAATGTTCAACCCCCAAAATATGTATAATCGATTTTGATTCAATAAATAAAATAAATTATTTTTTTTTAAAAAAAGGTGGGATGGGGAGAAAAGAACCCAGGATAAGAATAAATATAAATAATTATAACTGCTAATAAATATTGTGTTTACCATGTATCAGGTATAGCATCTAAATGTTTTCATGCATATGACCTAATTTATTGTTCATAACAACCCTACAAAGTAGGTACAACTGTTGTTCTTATTTTACAGATGGTGAAGCCAGGTCTCAGAGAAGGAGGTAACTTGCCCAATATCACATGGCTGGTAAGTAGCAATACCAGGAACTGACACAGGTTTACTGGTGCCAAGAGCCCAAACTTCTCTAACTCTTAAACCATACTGCTATCCAGCCTTCCCTGTTGTATTTTCCCATAGAACTTGTACTTCTCTTTTGAGGCATTTTGCAGACTTTTAATTATTTAATGGATTATTCAAAATTATTTGTTTAATAACTATCTTCACTGATAGAATGTAAGCTCCAAAAAGGCAGAGTCCACACTGATTTGGTATCTTTAGTTACATCCTTTGCTCTTAGAGCAATGTCTGACATATAATAGGCACTCAGTAAATATAGGCTTATTGACTGACAAATTGACTACTGACTTAAAGATGACAACCCCCAAGGACTGTCTGAGCCCTTCTTCTACTCTTCCTCTCAGGTCTACGTGCCTCACTTCCGTCCTCCAGTCCCACCAGTCAGCACCATTCCGCTCCTCAACCTTAACCTACTGACTGACAAATTGACTACTGACTTAAAGATGACAACCCCCAAGGACTGTCTGAGCCCTTCTTCTACTCTTCCTCTCAGGTCTACCTGCCTCACTTCCGTCCTCCAGTCCCACCAGTCAGCACCATTCCGCTCCTCAACCTTAACCTAAAGCTGAACTAGTGGACATTAAAGCCAGGTTTTAGTCCCAGATGATCCCTGGACTCAGCAAATGCTGATCAAGTGACTGCCTCTCTCTTTGGCTTAGAGTGGAAAGACGCCAGGAAAGATCGAAGCATCTACCCTGATGGATTACACCAGGGCTTCTAGAAGGGATTTTGTGGCAGGAGGCAGGGGGGCAGGAGATTGAATGTCTCTGTGACTTGCACAGGGCAGCATGATGGATGAGCAGTGGAAAGCACTTCTATGAAACATGCCAGACCTGTTGCAACAGTATCTCTCCCAACAGCCCGGAACTCTGCTTCCCTGAAGACATGCTAAATTGTGCTCTAGATTTATATTTGGGTGTCGATTTGCTAGCTCCTCCTCGGTGCTCCCAAAGGAGGTCTACAGTTTCCCCAGCAGAGGAAGGAACAGAATGAGAATTGAGGGAGGATTGGGCCCTCTTCCCAAGAGCCTTGGAACTTATGGAAATTGACAACTCTCTAAGAGTTTCCTGACTCCTGACTTCTGCAGATCCTACTCTCTAACCAAAACAGCCTGCCAGTTTTCAGTTTGGGTACACAGTGAGAAGGATTTATTTCCTCCCTCATTCTCTCAAGAAGTGGCCAAAGGAGTCTGGAGCCTCTGCCGCTCAGCATTCAGGTTCTCCTTGGCAGAAGAGAATGTGTAGGTGGGGTGGTTAGGAGTAATGGCCCTTCATTGTGGATTGAGTATCTTTCCTGGGGCTGTAAACACCTGGGAGTCCCCCAGCACATTACCAAATACAGTAGAAAGGAGTCAGTGAACCACGCACTGACCACAGCGACATCCACCCAGTGATGGAGAAGTAAAATATGTGCTTGAACAGGACATGCCTCGGGCTGGCCAGCTCACGGACCCCTGTGCCTTTGCCCCTGCTTTTCTGGCTTTCCATGGCTGTGATCTGCTTCTGCCAGACTCTGCATTTTTGTATCTTTTTCTCATTGTGTGGCCCCCTTGTCTTTAAAAGGCTAAACTGCTCTGTACTAAATTTGGTCACGCAGCGCTCCAAGATTCCCTGGAATGTCCTCAAGTTTCAAACAGCTCTGACAGAGGGGCAGACCCGCCCCCCGGTGTGGGGATTGGCTTCCCCTTTCGGAGCCAGGCTGTAGTCGGGTCTCATTGGTTGCTGGCTACACCAGCCAGGGTCCACTAGCCCTGGGCTGCAGGGAGGTTGCTGCATCCAGTTAACACTTCAGCACCTGTGGCACGGCAGGGCCAAGGAGCCGCAGTCCTCGACCAGCTGGGGGTTTGCTCCTAAGCCCACTCTGCTCCATCCAGATCAGCTCACCCTGCCCTTTCCCTGCCCACCAGGACTCCCATAGCTCTGGGCAAGAGCTGCAGCCCATTTGCCAAGATGTCCAGGGTAGCCAAATATCGCCGGCAGGTGAGTGAAGACCCCGACATCGACAGCCTGCTGTCCACCCTGTCTCCCGAGGAGATGGAGGAGCTGGAGAAGGAGCTGGACGTGGCAGACCCAGATGGGAGCATTCCTGTGGGGCTGCAGGAGAGAAACCAGATGGAGAAACAGTCCACAGGCGCGTACAACCGGGAAGCCATGCTCAACTTCTGTGAAAAAGAGACCAAGAAACTTATTCAGAGGGAGATATCCGTGGATGTGAGTGAGCTCAGCCCTGAAGGGAAGGAGGGAGGGGTGGGAGGACTGGAGACCCTGGCTCTGTGACTAGGATGCTTCTTTCCTTGGAAGAGCAGTTCTTGTTGGCAAAGGACTTAATGCTTCAGAACTGATTATTGCCCACTGAACTAGCAGTGCACATCTCTTGCCCCTAATTTCTGTTTTATAAGCTGGAGTTGGATATGTTGGAGGAACACAACATCCCACAAAATCAAATAGGGTTACTAGTAGAATGGGAACTGGAAGATGTCCTTGAAGCATTTGTTGCCAAGTTAACTCCATTCTGGTCTCTCAACACCTTTCTTTTTCTTTGCATTCATTTCATCCTTTTGTAAGGAGGAGCAAGAGGATAGAATGATATTTACAGTCCCCTGCCAGCCACTATGGAAGAGAAAGCTGAATCCTCCTTGTAGGATGAAGATTCATTTTTAAGTCCCCTGAGCATATGGGCATCTCATGACACATGGACCATTTGAGGAGACTCAGGGCAGATGGGCTGCCCAAGGCAATGGAGATAGGGGCAGGGGACTGTGGGTTGGGAAGTGTGTCTTAAACTGACAGCTTCAATTTCATTCCCAGAGAAAGTGGGATCCTCCCCCTACACACACACTCTAGAGGAGCCTCTTGAGGGAGCATCCCCTCTTTTTGGTATTAAGCCCTTTTACAAGCTAGCAAGGCCACATTGCTGGGGGATGAAGATATTCCTCCAGGAGGGGATAGAGGAAGGAAAAGAGGTACTTTTGGAAGCATCTGCCCATGTCTAGGATGGGCTTGAGCACAATTTGCTTTCTGTGTTCCTGGGTTGGCATCAGGGACTTATTTGTTTCACCGTTGCATTCACATGTGAGTTTTCTATGGACAAACTAGACTAGACTCCTATTGAGTATGACTCTGTAGGATCCCTTTGTCCATGAGAAAGAGTATTTAGTGGGAAAACTAAGTCTCTGTGCTAGTTCTCTTCTACCCACCCATGTCTCTTGAACATTATCCATTACTTGTTCATTCGTGCAAGAAAAAGTTTAGTCTCTGGTTAAAATGTGGTGTTAAAACACCAACACCAAAGTCAAGGGTTCGGATCGCTACCAAAAAAAAAAAGAAAGAAAGAAAGAAAAAGAAAAAGTTCAGTCTGAATTCTTGTCCTTTGTTTCACTTTTATGGAAACTGAGGCACAGATCTTCAGATGACAGGTTCATTCTCATAGAGGAACTGAGCTGAGACAGGGGATATTAGCATCTGAAACTTTCTTGAACTGTCTGGCTGGGTATGAAATTGTGTTGGCCACTGGTTACAGAGCTCGTTGGTGGACACAGCCCTGACTCCTTCAGTGTGGGGATGGGAAAGTAGCGGGGAGGAGCGAATGGGGCCAGGTAAAGTGTATAGAGGAATTGGAAATGTCTCTGTCCCTCCCACCCTCTGGGCGCATGTTTAAGGCTTCGCAGAGAAGTGGGGAGAGTGAGAGAAGGCAAGAGGCTCAGGAATTTATTATCCTGTGGGCAAGGTGGTTGCCTCTGATGCAGCTATGATAATGAAGAGTAAATACTAAAACGTTTATGGAAAAAAATGATAGGACTTACTCTGAGGACTTGATATCTCAAGACAGTTATCAGGAAACATACAGAAAAAAAACGAAATGCAGCTAAAGGCTTTCCCACATCTGTAAATCCCCCACTTGGACCCCAGATGTCCACTCTGGAGTTCGGCTCTGCTCTTTGCTCACTCTCAGTCCCCAGGCTCTGTGCCCATGATGGCCTTATGTCCAGTGGCTTCTGGTATTCAGAAAGATACTCCCAAGCAAGATGTTTAGGCCACAGAGAGTGTGAGGAACTCTCATTCTTGTAAACCTTTTTCCTTAGCCAATTAATACCTTGGCAGGCCTCTCTTCTCCTACCCCACCTGCCTCATCCCTGCCAGGTCCACACTAGTTTCTACAGACAGAGCCCGAGTCAGGGAATAGAGGGTAGTGTGTACGTGTGTGCTCGTGTGTGCACGAGTGTGTGTGTGTGTGTGTACATCCTTGGTATAAGGATATGCCTTTAGGAGCATTTTTCCCTTGTGGAGATAGGCTGTTCCTATCCACTCACTTTTCCCCACCCAGTCGAAGGGCATATGTTGGCATAATGGCTGGCTGGAGTTGAGGTGCATACTGAGCTATGGGCCAAAGTCATCTCTGTAATCTGTGTGAATGGGGATGAACCCAAAAAAGTGGTTTCTTTAGCATCATTAGCAAAGTGGTGAGTGTGCAGAAAAGAACTTGGATTTAAGTATCAGAAAAACCTGGTTTGAGTACCAGTGTCTCTTACTCTCTGTATAACTAAGTAACTCACAAGCTATCTAACCTAAGCCTTGGTTTCCTCATCTACAAAATGAGAATAATAGTACCCATCTCATGAGGTTGTGGTGAAAAATAGAAGGCATTTATGTAGAGCACATAGCACAGAGCTTGGCATATAATAAACACAATAAATGGCAGCCATAAAATTATTCATTCATTTGGGTTAAGGAACCCAGAAATTGGTGAAGTGAGCCAAAAGCACATCTCTATCCCTGCCCAGCCCCTCCTGTCCCTCAGTCCCCTGTGGGCTGTGCAAACCACACCTGCCAATTCAATTAGTGGCTATAGTAAATAAGCAAACCCTGGGTGTTCAGGGTGTGGGCCAGAGCAGCAGGTGGGGCTCCAGGCTGCTGCACTGGCTGCAGTCCTCACTGATGGTGGCCTTAACTACATGTCAGGAACTCCAAGGCAGGCAAAACAGAGTAACTGTGAGCCTGTTTCCTCTACCTGAGGAAGAACAGCAAGCTAAGCATTTACTGAGAACCTTCTACCAGCCAAGCACATTCACCTTTTCTTTTATTTAAGCCTCACAGATCTTGGGAGGTGGGTATTTTGTGCCCATTTTACAGGTCAGGAAAATAAATCTCCAAGAGGTGAATAACTGTCCCAAGGCCACACATCTAAGTGGTCTGCCTCACTTTGAGATCTGTGCTTCCTCCTGTCTGCCACACTAGGGTACAAAAAGGTTGGTAATGCCAGCTCCTGGCCCAAAGAATTTGTCGTCTACTTAGGGTCACAAAACACAAACATACAGAAGCAGCAGAGAAGCATCACAGAGCAGTGACCACATATTCACATATTGTCACAGAAGCTGTGGCTATAACGCAGTCTGTCTGAATGCTCATCTCCTCACTCCCATGAGTAGGAACACAACTATTAAAACCAAATGTGGATTAGGAAAGTAAATCCTGACTAGATATTGGATGGTATCAAGGAATCTTTATTAACTCTTTTTAGGTGTGATAATGGCATTGTGGACATATTTTTAAAGGATCCTTATCATTTAGGCATAAACACTGAAATATTTATGGGGAAAATTAATTGGATTAGGGAACTCGCTTTAAAATAATCTGGGTGTGGGTATAAATGAAACAAGATAGTCCATGAGTTGAGAACTGTTGAAGCTGAGTGATGGGTCTACATGGGTATTCATTATACTGTTTTTTCTACTTTTATATACATGTTTGAAATTTTCCATAATAAAAATTTTTAAGAAATAGAAACCAAGAGTGGAAGGCAGGCCCAGTTTGGGTCTTAAACTCTGGCTTTTCCTGGGGAGGAAGATTCATACTCTGGCTGTCATGCTCAGTGGATCCAGACTGTAGAAGGGATCTTGCCAGCTTCTCCTTCAGTGGGCTGGAATATTCTGGATAGTTTACCACCTCTTTCATGAATATCTGCCCCACCTCACTGTCCCCAGTGCCTCTTCCAGGTCAACTCCTAGTTGTCTCAGGTACCACTTCTTCCAGGTAGTCCTCCCTGACCCCCTGGCAAGGTTAGGCCCTTTGTCCGAGTGCTCCAATATCACCCTGTACCAGCCCCCTCAGGACATCGCTTTTTTTGTAATTATCTGCTTTCTTGGCTGTCTCGCTCACCAGCTTGTGTGATTCTGGAGGGCAAGTGCTGACACAAGGCCCAGCACACAGTAGGCACTCAACCTCTGTTTGTCCAGTGAATGTTAGCCTGGGCAGGGCTTGGCAGAACTGACCCCGCCTTCTCTCTCTCCCTTTAAAGGCGTAGACCTCTCAGCCAGCGTTGTTCTGTCCTGGTCCTCTGGGAATTCTCCGTTACCAGGTGGAAGACAAAGCCCCTGGGCAAGTATGTAGCCAACAGTTCAGTGAAACTCTTGTCCTTGGCTCAGGTTTCAGGAACCATATCCCAACGGGTCAACTTGTGTGTTCTCTTTCCTTCCCAAGTGGGAAAGAAAATATCCAGCCTGCCTACCTGTTCTTTCTCCCTGGTGTTACCAGGGGCTGGGGATTAGCACCTACACGCAGCCAGGGGCTGGGGCAGTTGAGCCGGGGGGTGGAGAGAATTCTTTTAGGTTCTTCCCAGAGGTAAACTTGAGAAGCAAACCCAGAGCACTCAACTAGCCAGTGGCTGCTGGGCTTGAGCCTCCTGACTTCCCCCTCCACTGCCCACACAGCCTCAGCAGTCACCTCCCCCACCAGTCCTAGTTCATGGCTCAGTGTCCATGGTAACTCTGCAAAGATGGGGATGCCAATGCTGGGAAAGTCTGAGGCTGGGCACTACTAGCCCTCAGAATGCCCTTTGCAGAGGGCTGGGCCCTATCAGGACACGCAGCCAGGGGCTGGGGCAGTTGAGCCGGCGTGTGGAGAGAATTCTTTTAGGTTCTCCCCAGAGGTAAACTTGAGAAGCAAACCCAGAGCACTCAACTAGCCAGTGGCTGCTGGGCTTGAGCTTCCTGACTTCCCCCTCCACTGCCCACACAGCCTCAGCAGTCACCTCCCCCACCAGTCCTAGTTCACGGCTCAGTATCCATGGTAACTCTGCAAAGATGGGGATGCCAATGCTGGGAAGGTCTGAGGCTGGGCACTACTAGCCCTCAGAATGCCCTTTGCAGAGGGCTGGGCCCTATCAGGAGTGCACTGGGCAGCACGGCTCATTGCTTAAGGAGATTAACCCCAAC